TATGAGGCATGTGTACTTGTGAAGCCCTGAGGGATATTAGAAAGTTATTGATCATAGAATTCAAAGAAGGGACGAAGGGCAGTTTTAAAGGGGCCCAGCCATGGATTCTTCCCACTTTCACTGAGGCTATACTTCCTCGCCCTTAGAGCATTTTATCTCTGAGATAAAATTATATTTGTCTCACCATGTTGTAGGGATTGCAACTAAAATATGTCAAATGCCTCTCCAGTTACTTCCACATGGACATTTGTACCCTGTTGATTGACATCAAGGGAGAGAAGTTGCAAGAAGGTGGTGTATGACGCAGCAAGTTTAATGTCTGGAAATGTGGTCCCAAGTCCTTACTCTACTACTTGTCCTTGTGGCTTTCTGGACTTACTACTCAAGCTGAAACTTCAGATTCTTCATCTGCAGGAAACTGTGACAGGTAAGATCTGTCTGTTTTTACCTCCACCTCTGTAGTACCCAAAGCACACCCTGAACTAAAATAAACACATTAGAGCTATTCTAGGTGACTCTAAAGTAGAATTATGGAGTGAGTGAAAGAGATTGTAGTTTGGGACAAAAACAAAATCAAGACTAAGAATGAAAGAACTCTAATGAGTTTTATGGATATAAACTATATTGGATATATGAATATCCATCCTTTTCTATACTCCCCCCCCCACCCCAAGGAAAAGGGGACTTTATTGACAATGCCTGCCTACTTTTTCCTGGGCAGAGCCTCTATTGAGTAGAGCTCTGGGGAAATTTTAAGACCATATTTCAAACATGTCCAGGCAGAAGGGCTGCTTTAAGAGGATTCAACCACACCATATAACACCACCAAAATCCCCAACCTGGGAGCCAGGAACCAAAAGACTGAAAACTAGTTACCAGAGTAGTAAAAGCCTATCTCAGGCAGTGAGGACCTGATGCCTCTGGTATCTTGCTGAGATCACTGTCAGTATAACACAACAGGAGCTTCAAACATAAATAAGGTTTATTCATTAATATTCTGATTTGGTAACTCTAGTGAACAGAGACACAGGGGAACCTACTAGCACTTAGCCACATGTTATCTCATGCGATGGTGAACGAGCCAAGTTCCCTGTATTTCAATTCACTTCCTCACCAGGTTCACTAGTATGCATCATGCTGTATTTTGTTTGTGCTCAGTGGGTTTTGGGGGCCAGGATGATTGCATATGCCTTTAATCCTAGCAGAGTTTGAGGCAAGTCTGGGTTACATAGTGAAACTCTTAACTCAAAACAAAAATAATAAATATAAAAATGTTTGTAGGATGAATAACTCAGGAGAAAAATACTCACTAAGGACTTTGGGCATTGATTCTCTTTGTAAAGTAATATTTAAGGTATGCTATACATCTATCTATCTATCTATCTATCTATCTATCTATCTATCTATCTATGTCATCTATGTGTGTTTTGTCTGCATTTTTGTCTGTGCACTTTGTATGTACCTGGTGTCCATGGAGGCCAGAATAGGGCATTGGATTTCTTGAAACTAGAGTTATTGGCAGTTGTAAGTGGCCATGTAGATGCTGGAAATGGAACCTGGACCCTTTGTTAGAACAGCTATCATTTCTCCTACAAATATATGTTGTTTGTCAACAGTGTACCTGAGCTTAAGGCAAGGAACTTCAAAATGAAGTACTTTACATTCTGGATTTGTGTTCTTAGCTATTAATATTTATAACACTATTCATTGTAATGGTGCAGTTTCTTATTCCTCAGCGCATGGTGAGGATGCATTTACTTATGAAAATGACTAGCTTTCCTGTAACCCCAGTGCCTTCGTGTGGGCAGACACATTGATGAGTACTAACTAGGTGGCTTCAGAGCCCAGAGACAGTTCTCACAGTCCTAGAATCTGGGAGAGCCTCAGTATTGTGGCTTTGGTGATCATCTAGTCCACAGAGAGGGAGACTTTTCACTGTGTCCTTATATGGCAGAGAGGTAAAGGGCTGCACTTCTTTGATGATCCAGCCGATGGGCTTTATCCTAAAGGATTTGCTTGTTAATCCGTTATACCGAGGTACATGTTTCTGCAGGGATTTGGGGACATGCATACATTCAGATCAAGGTCCTTTCCTCCCAGGTTACCTCTTTTTATCTCTGGATCCTCAACCCTCAGAACAGCCCCACCACACAGCAAGAATTATTAAGTTTGTGCTGAATGATTCTTAGGCACTTCCTACCTGGGCTCCATTATCATCAAACCTCTATAGCACATTATGTTATTTTTTAACCTTGTCATTTAGTTAAGGTTTTTTTTTTTTAACCTTGCATCTATCTCTCTAATTTAGTGGTTTTCAAAACAGTAAACTCCCTGAGACAGAGTTTGACATAGCCTCATAGTCACTTGCATCAAGGAGTTGCTCAAGAAATTGTCAATTTAAGTAATAACTGAAAATTTTGTTGTGCTAGAGCTAAAGTACCAGCACACGAATGTGTGTGTGTGTGTGTGTGTAGCATTAAATGAGCTAATATTATACAAATAAAATCTCTCAAAAATATCATAAACTATGTTTGCTTTTAAAATCATACATGTTACTTTGCTTAACCTGGTCTTTAAAACTGATCTCCTAACATCAGTTAAGTATCAGATAATGGACCAAATATGTTAAATATATTCTTAAGAATGTATACATGATAGAGTAAGGGAATATTAGTGTGGTAAAGGGCATCCTCGGCATGAAGAGGTCCCCAGCTGTCACCCCAGCATCACTATTAAGTGTCACTTAAAGATACGTTAGTGCATTAAATCATCCAACTTTTGTTTAACTGGCTGATTGCTGTCTGCATGCAGGAAGACAGAACAGTGAGCTTCCTAGAAACGGGGTACCTAGAAATGGGGTACATAACACAAGACAGAGGATGGTTTTGGAAGTGTTTGGCAACTGTTACAGCACACAGTTCTATTTATGAAATACTTCATTTTCTTTAGTTTCCTATCAGAACACATCTTTTCACATCCCATAAGATACCCTTATAGTGTCTGATACAGGCCCAGGGATTATTTCACAAATATTAACAAATGAATTAAAATTCATTTAAAGGATAGAGATGTCTCAGCAGAGGGCTTGAGTTTGGTTCCCAACACCCACCTGGCTCACAACCATCTGTAACTCCAGTTCCAGATCTGATGCCTTCTTCTGACCTCTGTGTGCTCCTGCACACACATTCGTGTAGAAAAAAACACTCATACATACGCAATAAAAGTAAAACTTTTCAAAAACTCATTTGAAAACCATGACACTATATTTGTTTTTAAATGGACTCAACAGAAGCAATGTTAAGAATTTAGTTAGTTTATGAAGATACATAAGCATGTTTCATAGTCCAGGTATTACCTAAAGGGGGCTGTTATTTGCGATGTAGATGAATCAATATGTCCCAAGAACAGATGTTTCAACAATAGAGCTTGCTATTTTAAAAATCCTGTGGTAAGCCTCCTTGTAAAGAAAATGATTGTTTCTGATTTACCTCATTTTTATAGTATTTGTCTTCACTCCTGGATCATCTAGAGTGGAATGTAAAAGTTGTCCCATAAACTATTTAATCAGTAGGACTTAATTTTATGTTACAAACACATTTCGAGTTCTTGCACTGACCCTTACTAGTGTAAGATTCGGGGTAAGTCATTTATGTCTTTTTGCCTCAGTAAAATTTGAGAACTGAGGTGCGTGCCTGGTAAGGGTGCAGCAAGGCAGAAATTAAACAGCACTGAATTTGGGGTCTATAATCAGTCAGTACAAGTGCCTTCCGTAGCTGGTCTTTCTAGGTCCCCAGCCCTACATGCCTTCCTCTTTGAAACAAAGCTACAGAATAGTATGTCTTACAGAATAGTATGTCTTACTCTGGGGCCTGGATGGTATCTTTCCTATATCCTCTGGGGATAGGGTCGGCGGCAAGGGTAGGAGGGTTACCCTAAGGCCAACTCTTTAGCGGTTTTTCAAGCCAAGGGAAATAACTGGAGAAACCTGGCTTTTTTGTACACTGGCAGCACTGATGACTCTGGAAGAGCTTCCTAACTCTTCATCGGAAAACTAGGTTTTGATTCTATTCGGAAGAATTCTAGGATTCTTCTTTACTGCTTAACACAAAGGAGTGGCCATTGATGGACTGCCCTAAAAGAAGTTGAGTAGAATTGCCCAGGAACTCCCAGCTAGGAAGGGATAGCCTGCAAATATGCTCCTCCCCTCTGGGACTAGCCTTCCTTCTGCCTGGAATAGAAGTAGGCCTAGGAACCGAAGGGCCGTGCCCCCCACCCCCATTGGCACACTGACGTCCAGCAAGCAAGCATCCCCCCCCCCCCCGCAAGTCGGGGCCGGGCTGTTAGTCCGTGTCTACCCGTCTGTCCAGGAGGCGTTTCTCCGAGCTTCCACCTGACCAGCGCAGCTGTGCAGTAGCCAGCCATGGAGTGGATAGTCGAGAAGACAAGGCGGCGCTTCCTCCGCGCTTCCCAGGCGGGCGGCGGAGACGCTCCCCTCCGGAGGGCTGCGGTCGGGGTCTGCGCCGCCTGCGCACTCGCC